TAAATCAGAAACCTAGTTTAATTTTCATCGGGCAGACAAACTCGGGTAAGAGTTCCTTAATTAATATGATGCTGGGCGGTACCTACGTAGCTGCAAAACAAACACCATCGACAGCGCGACTTGTGAAGTTGACATACGGCAAGACACAGAGGGTACGCATTGTTAACCGGGATGGAAGCGTACTGGAGGAAAAAACCCTGAGGAAGAAAACTGTTCCACGCAAGTGGATAGAGCTGGACGAGAAAGCACGACGTGACCCGAAGATGCTTGGGAGCTACATAGTAGCTGAGGTGGATAACGAGTTTCTATCCAGTGGTATCGAGGTCGTAGATTCGCCTGGTTTGAAAGAAAATGAAGAATTGGACAAGATGGTGTTGAATGAATTGAAAACAATCGTTCCATTTGTAGTGTACGTGCTCGACGGGAAAAATCAGCTTACTAACCAGGTATACATACATTTGTATTCACAATTATCCCGTTTTCTGAGACTTTTAAGTTGAGATGATTTCCGAAATGCATTCGAGTTTGATTTTTTTGATTTTATTTATTTCACCAGAATCCCACGGGAGGTTTTTAATTGACCATCCGGAATGTATTTAATTTTTAGAAATATCTGTTTCATCAGAATACCATTGCTTTGACGTGTTTATATCAACACAAATTGACAACTTTCCATTAACTTCCCAAGATTTCGTCTACGAAATTTGTTTAATGAAAAATCCAAAAATAATTATAACATTGTAACTATTAATTTATGCTATAGATGCAAATAACTATGTTCTGTTCACTACTTGTTGATTGTGCATCCCATTAAAACTGATTCAATTCTATCCATGTGATACAGGACCGAGAAGACATAAAGAAAGTGCAAGCCATAACCAAAAATATATTCTACGTTGTCACTAAAGTAGACAAAGACGATGAGAGTGACGACGATGACGATGACGAAGCCGCAGTTGTCCTGGAAAAGAAAACTAGGGCTTACAATAGTCTTGTAAAAGAAGGGTATCTCCCGACTGGTGTAAAAATGGAAGACTGTGAGCGTTTCCATGGTATTTCAAACTGGAGAGTAAAAGAATATCGGAAGCAAGGTCGCCGTGATAGTGATCCGTTCGTCAAGGATTATTACAGATTCCAGCAGTGTCTGTGTAGCTTTGTTAGGTCGTCGTTGGATTCGATTGTGTTGGCCGGAAGTAAATTGCTACTATCATCCCTTACGGCCTGCCTTGACTTCTTCATCCGTAGGGCGACTGCATCAAAAGAACAACAACGGCAAATCAAGCAGAAAATAGAAGAATGTCGCCAACAGGAGGGGAAAATATATTCAAATATGGCGTCCAAGATAAAAAATAAAACGAGCCAAATATCGAAAGACATTTCGGCTGGTGTCAGGGCATCTACAGACGGCATTATAAGAGATTCATCGAGTTACCACTTTACGGACATCGCTGTACCACGAGATGAAGTCGTGTCCAATAGGGAGTTATTAAAACAGTGCCAAACGCAAATGGAAGAATTCGTAATGACGAAGCTGTGTACAGAGATCTCAGAAAAACTGAGCAAGACATTCAAAGATGAAGACAGTATACTTTCGGATCTCATTAAAGTGGTACAAGAACTTGAAAAAGAGCAGCCAGACAAAGACGTCTCCGAAATATTGAGACTTTGCACTATGTCTTCGTATGTGGTTAGAAATGCTCTCAGA